TTAACGTGGGATTTTACGGTATTTTCAGAGAGGCACAGGTTGTTTACCATCTACCCAAAGATTCTGAAAATTTCGGTCAGAACGTAAATGGTAAGACAATTTTGGCTCGACCGACCGGAAAAATGTTCAAAATAAACAGGACGTCTTGAAAGGTAGTCCAAAATTTCCAACCGAAATATCTGAGTAGAAAATCTGGAGTGCACCCTTAATCTCCTTCGAGGCCGTTATGAGTCGTCACGCAAATGCTATGCAGTGAAGCATTGCCTGCCTGCGTGACGGACAGACGTCTGGTATCAACAAAATAAGACAGTAGCTATTGGTAACTCTCATTACAAAACCTGACTTCGACCAAAAGAAACAAAACAAACAAAAAAAAATTTCTTTATCACATGTTATTCCCTGATGTTTTTCCTGACCCCTGGCCACTTCCTATTAGAGAAAGCTGTAATACATATAGTGCACCTTCTCGAGGTTTAATATTCCGTTTTCGTCCATCCTGAAGAAGGCCTTGATACCCTTAGATTCTCCTTTGGGGGTGTGCTTTTCCAATGCAGCAGCCACGCCCTTCACGCTCACTGACGTCAAATTCACTGATCCAAGCATACTGCAAAAAAAAAAAAGTAGATCCGTAAGTTTTGTCGACACAAAGACAGCAGCATACATTTTAGAAGTAAAAGAACAACCTCTAATGCTTTGACTGTAGACATTGAAAAAACCCTTACGCTCATTCACATAGCATGTCTCGCAATCAAAGTTAAAATTGTCAGTTTAAAACACAATGCAATCAGTTGAATAGCCTGTAAAATTAATCAGACGTGGCTTCTTTAGTTAATAAAATGAAAGCTTTCATTTCTAAACAGGACACACTCGGCACATACTTATAGCAATACAAACTTGTACGCATACTAAACGAACTGGTTAATTTTTGCCAAAATAAAATTGAAACCTTAAAATAGACTGTCACAGAATGCAGAAAAAAAAAAATCCTTACCTTTTCTCCTCTTCATTTAAGAACTCCAGCTCAGTGTAACTAGCATGGAATTCAAAGTCACCCATGTGCCTGTTGAACGTCATCACCTTCTTCTGTGGCACCACATTCATTCGGTGATACAACATACGCTTCACGTGTTTCACACTCTCGGTTCCATCCTCAGCCTTGTTAATACGGTCAAAAGACACCTGAAACCAGAACCAAACAGGTCAGACCGGTTTTCACTTAAACAACTAAAATAATTCCCATTTGCTTTGGTTTTGCATTGCCACATTACGCAATTGGCTTAAAAAATCTCGCATCACTTTCTGAAGCATGGAGAAGTTTTAAAACTAAAACAAATCGCGGTTCGCCTGCACACGTTTTCCCGTGCTTTGCACCAGCCACATTTTCACGTATTTACTTTGAGTTTTGACTGGTTTACTGAATTGTTAGCCTGCGAACGCTGACGTATTTTCGGCTGTCACGGTTCCGACCGGAAATAAGTCTGCATTCACCGGCTCCTGAATCGTCTGTGACCTCTGTGATTGGCCAATATGATTACTTTGGTTTTAGTTTTAACAAACAAATAAATAACTTAATAAATAAATAAATAAATAAATAAATAAATGAATAAATAAACAAGCAAACAAAAAAACAAATAAATAAATACCTAAGTACATTTTTTTTGATACACCCTATCAGCACATGGCCATGAAAGTTACCTTCAAATTAAGCGCTTGCCAATTAAAGACTAGAGAATTACACATCTTCACTGTAACAGCATGACTTACAAACCTGTATTGGGTAAACATTTGCATCCTTCACCAAAAATTTCTTCACTTTGAATCCCTTTCCCAGATTTGCAGCTTGATATACAGCGCCTACATAATTTGCAACAAGACATAACCAATATTATTAAATACTGGATCATTTGATAATGCAATTCGAGAGTTTTCATTGGCTTAGCTATCATGGGTTCTGAGCCATTATACCATGCTCTACAAATATGGTAAGCGTACATATGATTTTGGGGGGCATTCTTATTTATATTTTAGCCTAGTTTTCTATATTTTGGTGGCGTTTTTAATAAAACAATTATTCCACTCACGCTTGTTGGACATGAAATGATTACAGTCAGCTATCTATCATGTGATATACAATGCACGCTCATTGAATAATTGTAAATTCTACGAAAACTGAGAGAATTCTCATGTACTCATTGGCCACTTATTGATCGACAAGTGTGTAGAGACTCTACAGACCATGAAACGACATAAATGTAGCCTGCAACGCAACACAAGGCAAGCTTCAGAGAACTTGAAAAGTTGCCGTGACTTTTCCAATAAATTGAAACCATCACGTTTGGACATGTCATTTGGACATTTACAAGAGGAACTTTTGAGAGACTAGTAAGCTTCAAACAGGAAAAAGTGATCTTACGAACTGCCACGTGGTGAATTTTTGGTGTTACCGTAGCAAAAAAAAGATGACAACATTTTTGTATGACCTACACTCTTATAATGCCATAAAAATGTCCAGGCCTTGGAAGTGAAGCCACTTGTCTGTTAGAAAAAAAGTCGGAAGAAGTGCAACTGACTCCCTATGCAGCTCTTTTACTGAGCTATCTTGTCTACCCTGGCACCTCACTTGTTCACGTTCATGGGTTCCAAGTATTTCTCGTAGCTTTGTTTATGTCAAACCCTTCAGGACAGATTAAACAGTGCAACCTATTCGTACATCTCCGAAGGAACAAACTTATCTTACCAAATATAATGCACCATGCAGTGCGTACAGAGAGGTAGATAATAAAAATTATTGAAAAGTCAATCATTGAATAATGCAATTTAAGAGTTTTCATTGGCTTAGCCATCATTGTATATGAGCCATTATACCATGCTCTTCAAATATGGCAAGCATATGTGTAATATTTTGGGGGCGTTATTAAGAAAACAGTTTTACCACTCATGCTTATCGGAAATGACACTATTATAACCAACTTGGCGCCATGCGCCTCGTTGGCTATCTACCATCTCATATCCAAAGCGCACTGGTGGAATAAGTTCATCTAGTAACCATCTGGGTGAGGGTAGTGATGAGAAGAACATTATTTTGATGGTGACTGACGTTCGACAACCTGCTTTGTCAGTTGATCGTGTTACTATAAACAACTTGAGAAATCCAGAATATTCATTTTCTTACCCAATGCAGCAGCTTCGTCAGTGTTGACATTCTTTCCAAGTTCAGACCTGACAGAAAAATGTCAAAAAATGAAATAATTAAAAGACCAATCTCTATTGTTTCAGTTTGTGTTCACTTACAAGAGCTCGGTCTCGTAAAGCAACCAGCTCTAGTTACACCCACTTTTTCAAATAATTTCCTAAGATGGTCACTTATCAGAGGTTTCCACACATTAATCATAACAACACATAGGTTATTAGGACAACTAGATTTAATATTACATAATGTTTTGTTCTCCTACTGTATTTTAAGAAATGGTCTTGTAATCAATTAAGAATCATCAGTCTTTAAATCAATCAATTTATGAGGAGCAAGGATGGTGCAGTGGTGAGAGTATTCACCTCCCGTCAATGTGCCGTATATGGGATGAGTTTAATGTTTGCTCTCGCCTTGCTCCGAGGTTTTTCTCCGGGTTGTCCGGTTTTCCACAAAAACCAACACTCCAAATTTCAATTGGACCAGGATAGAGGCCCTGCATGAAAACCAGCTAAGGCTGATGTGGCTTCCTCTTGAAATATTGTAATTTATTTGTTTATGATCTAATTAACAGCACTATATCACAGCTTACTTCTTAACAGCTTTCAGAAGTATTTCCTGCACCTTTGGCACACGTGTTCCTCCGCCCACAAGAATAACACTTTCGATTTCATCCTATGCAAAGAAAATTGTTGACATTTCAACCAAACGTCCCAGTTCATGCAAAATACCTCTGCAGCTTTCACTTCTGCTATAAAATTCCATGTAAACATTAAATCAACATTGTCATTTGGAACCTGGAATCAGAATACTAAATAATTATGGGTTAGCTTATTTTTCGGTTCCTTCAGAACAAATAGCTGAATATAAAATTAATGAAGTAAATCTCATTCTACAAAGGACTTTTCTGAGATTAAAATGTTAAAAAAAAAAATAGATGGTCAAATGTCAGAAGATGTGCAGCAGCTTTCGTAATTTGAAATTTTATTTGTTATCATAGTGAAGCAGCTGTTTCGATGTTCAGGGCATTGTTTCAATCTGTTGTTTGTTCTGTTCTTCTCTCACAAGGTATTAAGCTATTCATCTAATGCAGCCAAACAAATTTAAAACATTATCCTTACAACAAGAGATTGATTTCTGTAGGGAAAACGAAAATATCTCATCTCTGTTGAAAAATGAATGGTTGGTTTTCACACACACTGCCTCTTAATTATCACAGTTTTCTTCTCACCAGTGGAATTGCTGATGATTTCAGAGCCTGTTCCACTGGGCCTGGAACTCTGTTCAGTAAATCAGCACACATCTGTTCAAATTCCTCACGTGTAACCTTTGCACGGAAGTCCTTTTCTTCAAATGCACCCTCGATCTACAGGCAATTTAAAGATAAACATTACACTTTGTGAATTAGTCCTACCCAGACATTCTATTAACTGCTTCTTCTAAGTAAGCTAAGCCAGTCAATAGACAAACCTCTATGCGAGAAGAGTTTTCAGTAAAACTATGTTCACCTGTGCAAAAATTTCAGAGTTAGCACTCAACACTTGTTTAACCCGGGCAGCTTCTTTGAGAAATTTTGCCATGGCCCGTGGAGACTGAGTCACATCGCCCTGGGGTTTGTTTTTCTCCTGAAACAATAACAAAATACTATAAATTATTCAATAATTTATTTGTTAAGTTGTATCACATGAACTGCAAACCCACATAGCAAGCGCAAGCACCTAACATTACATATTCATTACATGTGTAACAGATGGACCACTGGTTTCATATAAGCAGACTTTGTCTCACGTATTATTGAATTGATTATCCAATCTATGCATATCCTATCTTACATTACCTTAAATAGTTTAACAAGATGATCCCTCATTAGAATTTCCATGGCGTGACCTCCCAGTGTACGATCAAACCTGTGATTGGAGTTGAATAAAGATTATGATCAGCTTATTAAGTAAACTGTACAGCATCATTGCATCTGCATAACGTTTTAAGCTTGATTTTGACACAACAAATAAATGTATGAAATAAGCAGACAGGCAAAGAGACACACAGACTGACAGAGAGAGAGTAAAAAAGACAGACAGACAGACAGACAAATGGACAAACGGACAGGATGTTAGGCTGTCAGACAGAGGGACAGACAGACAGACAGTCAGTGTGACAGTTTGAATTTGACAACTAAGGTATCAAATAACCAGACAGAAAGAGGGATGGACACAGGGAGACAAGCAGAGTGAGACACAGGTAGTATTTGAACTGAAAGGGCAAGCGAACAGAAATCTGGACAGAGTGGTAAACAAATAAATCCTTCACTTACCCAACCCCCTTAACGACCAGTTGAGGTGCTGTTTCGGTTATCCCCCTGTCTTTGGTTTTCACTGTACTATAACCTGTAAGATGAACATACAGACAAAATTCCAATGATGTCAAGCCCAATAACTGCAGGACTGGAAGGCGTACACAGGAAGCAAACATTTAATGGTATGCCACCTTACAGCCACCCTGTCCATACAGCCAGCTAATAATTATCATTATTACAGCCACTTTATTCTGGTACGGACAAAAGTTTAGTCAATTATTTGGTTACTTAAAGAACCCCTAATACAGACAGATTTTTGTGGCCCACTGGCAGGGGTTTTGATATAGTTAAATGAAATTTAACATAGTTAACGACTAGGAGCTAGTCTGGTCAGTAGCGTTTTTATAGGCAGTTGTTAGTGTCTTGGCCGTCCGCGAGCGTTTGGTTAGCGTTTGGTGTGTTCTGTAGTGTTTGATATAGCTCAATGAAATTTTACATAGCTTATGACCAGGAGCTAGTCTGGTGAGTAGTGTTTTTTTGTAGGCGTTTGATAGTGCCTTAGCCATCTGTTAGCATTTGTTTAGTGTTTGGTGCATTCTGTAGCATTTGCAGCATTCATTGGTCGTGAGAGCCCTGGGGCTGACATTGTCCAGCGGTATTTTTGGTGAGTACATGTGTTGTCGCCCCATGTGCTCGCAGTGTGTTCATCGCTCTGTTAGTGTGGCGTTGTGGATTGAATTATAATTTAGCGGTTCTCGGCGTTCCCTCCCTATCCCCCCCTCTTTTAGCATTTTTTTTTCCACCAATGCCATCTGGTTTGAGTGTGACGGGTGCCTGTGGGGGGCTTGGTGCAAAGGCCAGTCGGGTGTTCTAGCGCCTTGGGGATGTGACTGGAGTTGCAGCCCCAGGGCTTCGTAGGCACCTTCCCTCCACTACCGACTTGAGCGTTAATTAATGTTCTCAGCAGGAGGGCAAGTGATCTTCACAGGCTGGAAAAACTTGCTGGACTGAAATTCTTTATGGGAAAAACTTTCCTCTAGATGGCCAAACCAGGCAGGCAAAATTGCCCTCACAGTCAGTCAATTTGCCCAGTGCCCAGCCCTTAATGAAACCCCTGCATTAGCGACTGGATATTCCACTGACTGTATATTGACTTAAGATAGTGTACCACTGACAGCTTTACAAGTGAATATATGAAAGACCATATATTTGAACTGCAGAAAAAGATATCAAGGTATGATTGATCATCGCAGTTATACACATAACTTAAGCAGTTGTGAAATTAAAGCCAGCTCCCAGTAAGCTTGATAGCTCAGTTGGTAGAACACTGCACCAGTATCACAGAGGTCATGGTTTCGAATCCCGTTCAGGCCTAAATTTTTTTCAGGCTTTAATTTCACAACTGCTTAAGTTGTGTGTATAACTGCGATGACCAATCATATCTTCAATGACAGCTTCAACATTATTATAGCAACTGGAAGTAAAACACACTTGCCAGACAGATAAACATTTTAATAAGTATCAGTATCAAAACTATTGAAGACTTGTGGTTTTTATCTCCTCAATCTTAGTCTTGTGTAGTATTTGTAGTATATACATTGTGTACAGAACAAGTCAAACATGATGTTATCACTGTTAGACATAACTAGTAAAACAGTCTACTAAATGATAACGTGGTCAAACTTACCAACAATTGTAGCAACTGTGCTTGTCGCTCCCATGTCATAAAACATGATAAACTATATTACAAAAAAAAAATAACAATAAAAAGATGCACATTTCCATATGCATTATTAAAATTCCAAAGCCAAAGCTTAATGCATTTATTTATTTGAAATTTAAGCTTTGTTTGCCATACCTGCTTAAAAAATATTAAACAGTTTAATTCATCATTTTTTATTATTACTTTAAATTGGCATGTTCCAGTGTTGTTGTTTCTCACAAGCTCTTTTGAATTATGCTTGAAACCCTTGCAAAATTCAAGGCAATGTTCCTATGTGACTGTAGTGTGGACCACTGTTTATGTACACAGCACTGGCATCACCAATAAAAGCTGCAATTCAGCCAGAATTTAGTTGATTCACATAAATCTCTCACTGGGAGTGGCCTTAACCATATGTACTCTTAACAGCATCTTGATAAGTGTAACATGTAAAAGCATTGGAATGAGCAATATCCCAAGAAGGATTTTATAGTTGTTAAATACTTACTTTCTCAGTGTTGTTGAAAGATGCACGCCGAAACACACCATAATGAAGGGCAACTAAAAGGAAACCAACATGACATAAGTTAAAGACACACTGATTCTGACTGAATTCAGGAAATGATATGTCTTGTGCATGACCAATGAAATAAAAGCTACTGAAAAAAAATGGCACTATTTTATGCTGTAACATTGAAGTCTGTGGAGGAAACCCTAGTGTGCGACCACTGAACAAAGTGGTTCTAACTTTTGTGCCTGTTGATTAAAATACCTTGGTGTGTGAAGTGAAAAGCCATTATAATCAATTAAAGGTTGAGAGACATTCCGTACTAACCTGCTGTGTTCTCATTCATCAGCTGCAGTACATTCAACCCAACAAGCTTTGCAGCTCTGTGAGCAATGAGAGAAAAAGATCAATAAAATTAATATAAGCAGTACATGCTGCATGAGCAAAAGTAAGGTAAGAGAAATAACAGCAGGATTATTATTTTTGATGGGCAGAAACTCTTAAAACTAAATAAATACCTTATTACAGATCGCCGTTCAGCTTGATTGAAAAAGGAGGGGACCGTGAGGACCACATCTTTCATAGGATGATCTGGCGAAAGCAAAGAGCTAAAGGGTAAGCTGGACCTAAGTCTTGCAGTTTTGATTGACTGAAAGTTTGTAGCCACCTGGTATCTGTTCTGACTTTGTCATGCATATTAAAAATAAAAGCCACACTCAGGTATGTTCAAGGCCACTTCTTCAAGTACTTCAAGGATCTTTTAGGATTTACTACATATCATGAAATTTTATTGTTACATTTCAGTGCTTGTTAATTTGATTCAGAACATAACACTAAATGCAATACAGACAACATGAAAGGAATTTGAGGAGTAAATAACATGATGAATTTTCTAACAACTCACCAGCAAATTTTTCGGCTATGTTTCTAGAATGATTCAGTATCATGCCCAGAATTTCCTCGGGAGTAAAGGTTGTGTCACTATCATGTCTGAAAAGAACAGTTCCTGGGAAAAGAAAATAATAAATTTCTCACATGCATTCAATATCTATGTACATGTACAGTATTTGTGGTCTGACGANTCATCACCTGTCTGATAGTATATGATAATGAATAGCTGTAGTCAGGAGAAATTACAGTTTGATCACTCAAAATCTGGGCTTTTCAACACACCTTTGTTTGTAATGTTGAACCAGTGGGTTGTTAAACTTTTTACCCAAAACATCTTGGACATAAATGTAAGACTTCTTTGGATACTTGACAGACTGCAAAAGAAGCACACCAAAAACAAAAGGTGGCATCAATAAAAATAGTTCTGAGCTCTTTCCATCTCTTCAACTTTGATGGATAAAACTACCACTCTTTGTCATATGATATGATTTCAAAAATTTAAGGTGGCTCTGAACCCTCTCCACAGAATTTTTTAAACTTCGCAGACATTTGCATCTTATAATGGTAATCACACTTCCATAGTATAATTAAATGGGTGTTTATTTAAACAGGTAACACTGTTGCTATGGTTACCTCTCATGCCATAAAGATTTACCATTATTGGCTCACCAATGGCTAGACGTTTGTCTGATGCCAATAATATTGTAGCATCAAATTGACAAACAGTGGTACATGTAGTTTTGATCCCATCAAAGTATAGCTGTTAGAAACTGCTACCATCCACCTTAATACATATTGTAAAATTCTTCTGCAAAGACTGGAACTGATTTCAAATAGTATAAAAAAGTGTACATATATGTATAATTATTACTCTGGTAGTGCTGTTAGTCAAATTGTTTTCCAGGTTACTACATAAATTTCTTTCCAACCCAGTGTTCTCCTTTTCAGGCGGTAACCGGTAAAATTTACCGCCTGTAGCGCCACTCATTACTGCCTAAAATCTCTTGGAATTCTTGAAAATTCAACAGGTAAAAGAAAAAAATATAGTTGTTTCACTGATGTAATTGGTATTTTATCCTTGTAACATCGGTATTTTATCCTTGTAAAAGAATAAATAAACTGCGCAGGCTATGGTTTGTAAGTACTATCTGTGGCTTTCGAACTTCAAGGCGAAATCTGCGAATTTTTGGCGGGCTCTCTGTCACAATTTCATTGTCATCATGTCATTTCTTCGCACGTGCATTGGTAGTTGTTTACGTCCAGTTTCACGATGAAGCGACAACGAACTTTGTTCTCATTTCTCTCCGTCATAATGGCAAGAAGTCACGAATGGAAACAGTTACAGTTCCATGAACTTCCCACCTAACTATCAGCTTTAGAAAACTGGTGTTGTTAAATTGACCAACATTCACGTGTGGTAATTGCAAACTTTTTCTTCGTCATGAAATGCTTCGCGTTTAGGTCAAAAGTGTTTAAAATCTATTTTCAGACGACATTTTGAGAGAATCCTTCACAATAAAACCCTTCCAGAACGTAAATGAAAACGAATATGCAGCGATTTTGTTTGGTTTTGAGAGACGACCGCTGATTTTGTAGTGACGATTCATGTAAGCAAGGTGAGGATACCCCAGAAGTGGCTTTTGCCTAATTTTCTGTGACTTTGGGGAAAGTAAATTAAGACAAAGAATAAAACACTTAAAAATGAAAATGCTGTTTGATTTCATTTGACATCTAAAGCCAAAGGTGTAAAATTAGTAAACTGTAATGCTTATTAGATGGAGGTCTTTTCAAAGAAAATGTTTTTATTAGGAAACAACAACATCAGCGATTAATTGGCTTTGCAACTCGAGAAAGAAACCCCTGTCTTGGAAAGCATATCACTTACATTGATTTGAATTCTATGTAATGTACAGAGCAGACCTAATAAACAAGGCTGTGATTCACCTGATTGCTTTACCAGTTTAAAATGTTCTTTTACCTGTTGTACTGAAAACAAGGGAGAACCCTGCCAACCTCAGTTAAACTTTGTCAACCAGAGAATAACAATCTTACATCATTTCACAGAACAGATCAAAAATTAAGTCTTGCTTTCTATATGTACATGTACAAGTTATTCCTGGAAGTGACAGAATGAGATAACTAAACACCCACCATTGTCAGGGCTCCGTCACTAAACAATCGTTCATTATCTTTGAGTGAAACAGCAACTGGAGTCTTTCTCCTCGACTCTCTAGAAACAATTTACCAATTATTAATGTTACATAGAGCAGTAAAGTGAAGGACAAAATAAATCCAAGTTCTTTGGCTAAAAATGGAAATTTAAACTGCAAAACCTTTCTAACTGAATGATAATCAAATGATAGCAATCGCAGTTACTAATTTACAATTTAATATAACGTACAACACATGATAATAAACTTACTGGTTCAAGGCAATTTCCATTGGTACGCCAGGCTGAAATTCAAGAACATCAAGAAAAAATATATATATAAGTTAGTAATACAGTGCATATGAAAATGAATTAAATAGATTAATAGGAAATATATCAGTAAAAGCTTTTAATTGTTAGCACTATACAATACAACTGTGCCTTACGATCAAATTGGACGAATCTATACTAGAGACGAATTATCTGATGCCGAATTTACATCGAGAGGCGTTTTACATGCCTCAGATGGATAAATTGCCTATGTATAATCTGGTGTTTAAAGACAAATTAGGTAGCCAAATTCATCTTCCCCTGATTCATCTATCTGCACGTCTTGAAGTCGTGCTGACAGACAAATCAGCGGTCATATAAATTTGGCCACCTAATTCGGGCAGATGAATTACTCATCTCAGACAGCTCATTCATCTCAAACAGGTCATTCGTCCCTAGTATAAATTCGGCCATTGTTAATAAAACAGCCTCATGAACATTAATTTATTGTCATTTTCATCTCGGCCATAGTTCTAACTTGAAGTTATTGTCTTAATCCACATTTACATGTACACTTGATTATGATGCATTACTATTATAATTATAAACGAATTCCACTGTATATATTCAAAGTCAGTATTACCTTCACTATGGCGACTTTCATGAACTGGCTTCCAAGATCCACAGACATGACGGCTAAACCATCTACAAAAGAACATTAAAAATAGCAATAAAAAAA